AAACTTGTTTCTGAATCTTTTCACCAAGAAATATTCCTCTTGTGTTTCCCACTACACATTAATGCTTGCAAAAATAACTCAGGGAGAGAGAGAGGAAACCACTATGTTGGGTTTTTACAATTTTAACACATCTCTCTCTTAATAATTCTACTTCCTGTTTACCACCTTTCTTATTTTCCTTATTACTTCCATTCTAAACCTGAGACAACTATAAATTAGGAAGCTTTTTTTCAGTCTTTAAGCAAAGAATCTCACTACCTGAATAACTCCATGTTTACACATATACAAATCAGTTACAAATAGTCTGAAATGGGTGTAACTTTCTTCTATATATAGAATTAGCTAAAATACACCCACAACTTACTTCTGCAGTTTAAAGTATGCCTTAAATTTCATTTTTATGAATTACTATTATTAGAATTATTTCTTAAGAGTTTAGAATTCTTTCAAAGAATTTCCACCTTATTTTTTTAAAAAGTGTCACTTCTTCCCAATTAGAGTGATTTTAATTTTGATCATTTACTTTCCATTAAAAACCAGTCAAAATGTTCAGTCATCCTGAGTTTCTTTATAAGCAATCTATGACAAAGATACAGATAGTTTATCAAAGAAATGATTCTAAGATATAGGATGAAGTCAGGGAGCTTAAGCAGGGAATGATGAAAGAAAGGACAAATGAGTAGTGCTCTGGTTCACTGGGACTTTCTGAGGAGTTTCATAAATTGTAGCAGAGTTGTGAGTCAGAGATGAAAAGGGAAACACTTTGCAATGAATTCTTGCCCTCAACTGGCCTATTGTGTCCCAGCAGATTTTCAACGTGTCAAGCAGACAAAGGTCTTGGAGAAGTCTGGGACAAGAATGTAGATACTGGAGAAATGGGTTCCCAAAATGAGCCTCTGTTAGTTAGATCTTAGAAATTGAACACCACTCTATGGAGGCCAGAAATAAAAACAGGAGGATTTTTGAAGTAAGGTGCAGACCTACACATCTCTCTACCTTACTGTCTGACTTGATTAGGAATGACAAAGTACTCAATGGAATAATTATATTCCTTTATATTAACTCAACCAGTGATATTTTAACACCTCCTTACTGGTTTTTATCTTCAATTTACACAGAGATGTCTCTAAAGGCTTATGTGGGACACTAAATTTTAATGTTTTAGGTAATAACCCAAGCATGTTACATTGGATTGCCAAACTGCATTTAAGAGGGCAATATAAAGCAAAATGTGAAAGACTGAAATAAAGAAAAATTCACACTTGAGCTGTTTTTACATGTGTTTTAATAAATTCACATGCTTTAAAAATATTGCTATGGGGTTTTATATCTAAGAAATAAGTGGGGCGTGCAGGACCTTCTTAAGAATTAATAACTACTATTTTAGATAAACTATATTTGCCATAGAGTCACCAGGTTTAAAACATCATTTCAATTTAAGCTTTCTGTTACTGTTGTTGTGTTTGTTTTTAGGCCATATCTAGTGGCACTTAGGGGTTACTCTTGGCTCTGTGTGCAAGGATTACTCCTGGTGGGCTCAGGGGAGCATATGGCATGCCAGGGATCAAATCCAAGTTGGTGACATGCAAGGCAAATGCCCTACTCACTGTACTGTCTCTCCAGCCCCTTGTTTTTGTTTCCTCTGGCAGACCTCCCAAGCTGTGCTGTGGGGGCCCAGAGGCCTCTCTCCAGCGTATTCAGTTTGGACACATGGTTGTTGCTTGGACCTTATCTTATGTTGCTGCAGTGTCAGGGATGTGTATAGGGTCCCGGGTCCTCATGTATTGCAGGCATGAACCCAGCCCTTCAAACTCACTCTCTAACATTAATTTTAATTTTAATTTACTTTTATATTCTTTGGGGTAAGTCTGAGGATATTTTACTATGTTGAAATTCTTTAGAGTCACTTGAACTGTCAAAACATCCTTTGTCAAATTTTCTGATAGGCAGTTTTTTGTTCCTTATTGACTTGAATGAGATAAAAAATATATTTTTTTCCAGCTTTCTATCTTCTTACTTTGTTTACAGGGGCTTTTGTTTTGCCTATGTTATGTTGTACAATTACATTTATTCCTTTATTTTTAATCGTTTTTAAAATAGGAAAAGGGCCTTGTCCCTCTAAGTTTACAAATGAATTCTCCATGGTTACTTCAATCCTGTAATGTCTCTGTGTGTGATATATATCTCGAATTCAACTTTTCATTCAATTTCACTATTTAGTTGTTCCAATATTAGCTATTAAACACTCCATCTTTTTATTGGGGGATGGGGGCACATGCCATTGGTGCTCAGGGCTTGTTTCTGACCCTGAGCTCAAGGACCACTCCTGGTGGACTGGGGGAACCATATAGGGTGTTAGGAATTGAACCCAGATTGGCCATATACAAGGCAAGCTTCCTTTCTGCATGCTGTACTATCTCTCCAGCATCAAATAATCCATCTTTTTACCATTAAATTAAAATATGATCTTAATCATATAAATTAGGTATATTTTCAGTGTTTTATTTTATTGCTATATTCATTGGATAGCAAAGCCTGGCAAGCTACCTGTGACGTATTCGATATACCAAAACAGTAACAACAAGTCTCACAATTTTTTGTGAGACATTACTGGTGCCCGCACTAGCAAATCAGTGAACAGAGGACAGTGCTACAGTGCTACTCGTTGTATACATTGTGTTTGTGTGACAGGAACATATTTCATTAGCTTAGCCAAACACAGTAACAAGTCTCACACTGTTACTAGGCCCTCTGAGCAAATCGATGAACAACAGGAGAGGACAGTGACAGTGACAGTGACAGCTTTATCATACAAGCACCCCATTCATCACCCTACTTTATGAATTTATAGGTTATAGAAAACTAACCTCACTGTGAAGTTGAGCATTCTCATTCAGGAAAGTGCTATGCAATTTTATTTATGCAAATCCTTTCTGCTTTTTAGAGACATTAAAATGTTTCATTCATGTAGATATTGTACCTTATTATTTTAAGTTTATTCCTAAACATGATCTTTATTTTATTAAAGTTATATCACTTCTGTTATTATCAATGATTAATATTAATAATAAAATACTATTAATAATATTTTATTAAAATTAGGCTGTTTCTATTATATCTTCAATCTGGTTGTTCTTTTGTGGGTGTTTTGTTGTTGTTTTGGGTCATACCTGAAATGCTCAGGTCATTATTCCTGGCTCTGCAGTAAGAGAGCACTTCTGGTGGCGCTTGAGGGAACCATATATTGTGTTGAGGACTAAACAGGGGTTGGTCACATACAAGATAACTGAAGTGTCATAATGCCAGTACTATTACTCTGGTCCTGATCTAGTTTTTTAACAAGAAAAATGTCCTTATCACTTGAGTTGCAAGGCAGGGTGTTGATATGTTTGGACATGTATGGGATTATTTCTGTTGATGTTGTTGACTTTTCTAAGACAACTATTTGATCATCCATGGCCTTGTTTGTTTTTTTCATTTGGGGGCTGGGGGGTTACCAAGCAGTGCTCAGGTGCTACATCCAATTTATGGCTCAGAGCTATATGCTGGAGGTAGGGGACAGTTGCTGTTGGTGGTGTTCCAGGAGCAATGTCATAACCAGGATTGAATCAGCATCAGTCACATGAAAACACTTTTGCATTAATCACTTTACTACCTCACATCCATAACCCTTTTTGAATTTCTATATTTTAAATTTTTTTCTAATGTAGTTGTATTAGCTTGAATTTTCCAACAATAATAAAAGTGATCACAGAAGATAAATTTGTCTGATTTCTGACTTTATTGGGAAGGTTTCTAGTAATTGGGGGAGGAATTGTTGGGGCCATATTCCACATGTTAGCAAGCATCTTAACTCCTGGACTATCTCTCCTTCCCTTCTAATAAATATTTTCAACCATGATATGAGATTTTAGGTTAAGAGAGAGAAGCTTGGCAGACACCCAAGCGGTTTGCCGAAGGCTTGGGGCCACTCCCTGAAAGGCCCAGCAAATGCAGTGCTGCTAAGCCATGTGGTACTGGCGACCACCAGAGCACCCTCATTACCTCAAGAGTGTGTGAGGGCCACTAAGACCACACCTGGACCTGCTGGGAGATGGGGTGGATGGGACATGCATACCAGAGTCGCAATTGGGTCACTATGCATACAGGAATAGACCTCTGACAACTGAGAATTCTCCCTGGCCACAGAGAGGTACTCTACTCTGTGGGGTGGGATGCCAAACTTGTGGAGCTCAGGACTTACTCCTTGTACTATGCTCACTCCTGGCAATACTCCGAGGACCATATGCAGTGCCAGGAATTGAATCAGGCCAGCTGCATGCAAGGCAAATGCCTTACCTACTATGTGTCTGGCTTTACAGAGAGGTATTTTGTATGTTAAAGAACTGTCTTAATACTCCCCCTTTGCTATTATTCCATTAAAAAATGTTAAATGCTAAAATACCACCACTTAGTATACATAAGTATGAATATTTTTCTACTTAAATCTTCTAATATTAATAAGTTTTCTAATAGTAGATTTATAGAATATTTCCTAGGATGATGCCATTTGGTTACTGAGAACCTTCAGCTAGCAAGTTGTTGTATTCTGCTTACTAATTATTTGTTTAGAATTTTGTATGTGTCATTAAATATAAATGAATTGGCCTATGCTTTCCTTCTCAATATTTTGTTTAATTTGCTCTGAAAACTTTTGAAACAATAAGTGCTTGATAAATTCAATGTTGTTAAAATATGTGCCCATAGTTTAAAAAATCCACTAACTTATTTCTTATTTGAGTAAATTTTGCACCATGACTTTAAATGAGACAAATATGAGAATCTATAAGGAAGTTTCCATTCTTTACAAATTTTCTAGGAAATAAATACACTTGATAAGTTTATTCCAACATTAGAAAAGATAATTCAATGATATTGTTAGAAAAGAATTTTCATTGATTTTTCCATACCCAATGAAAGAACACTTACAGTTTGTTGGTTATTTATATTATCTTTCAGTTATGGAAAAATCTACAGATGCAATTGCTCTTACCATGAATTCTTCAGAAAAGTTGGAGACAATATGTATTTTTGGAACTGGAGATTTTGGAAGATCCCTGGGACTTAAAATGCTCCAGTGCGGCTACTCTATTATTTATGGAAGTCGAAACCCCCAGAAGTGCAATCTGCTGCCCAGTGGTACAGAGATCTTAAGCTATTCTGAAGCAGCCAAAAAATCTGACATCATAATCATAGCAATCCACAGGGAGCATTATCATTTTCTCACAGAACTAACTGAGGTTCTCAATGGGAAAATACTGGTGGACGTCAGTAACAATGTCAGGACCAATCAGTATGCTGAATCTAATGCAGAGTACCTTGCTCAGTTAGTGCCAGGAGCCCATGTGGTTAAAGCATTTAACACTATCTCAGCCTGGGCTCTCCAGTCAGGAGCAGTGGATGCAAGTCGTCAGGTAAGGTTAAATGGTGAGTTTGAGGATCAGAAATAAACAACAGGGGCTAAGGCCCAGGCTGTGCAGGCAGACCTGGCTTAGTCCCTGGTATCACATAGTTCCTACTCCCACACACACAGTAATCCCAAGCATTGCGGTGTTCAAGCAGCACAATGTTTAGGGTATTGTATCAAACTGCCAGCTAGATGTCCAAGAATAGCCACAGGGACCCCTCTTGGACCCAGGAGGCCCCATCCTCCCATGAAAGAAATTTCCATTCTATCTTCAAAAAATCCCAATTTTAATGTGCACTCGCCTTAAAGATTCCAAAGAATAATTTGCAAAATAAAATATGCACTTACATTTCATTCTACTAATATGTGCACTAATAGTTTTCTTGAATTTGATCAAGTGGGTAGTAAACTGTGATTTATTTCCCACTGTCTCCACTTCTGGAGATTTCATTTAATGGAATCTTGTGGTGTCAATGGAGGGTTTCTTTGCCAGTAATTGAAAATGAATACAGCTAAATGGTTGGTGGATCTCCTTTCCCACTCCTATTACCTGCTGTAAAGTTGCTTCATTGTATTCACTGAGATTCAAAGTAGTCTAGTGATGGGACACTCATGACTACCATTACCATGGAGCAGCAAGTCTAAGAACAGCAGGATGCGCTTAAAATCATGCTCAATTTCAATTTTTAAAAAACTGGTAGGTAGCCTTTTTTTTTTGATAGCTGGTACTTAGGCCTCTGACACGTGTACAATATCATCTTGCTAAACACATTGATTCTACATCCATGTTTGAAAAAGAAGGTCATTATTGTATATTACTGTTCAGCATGGTATCTGTGTAGACTTTAAAATCGTGATGAAAGGATTTATAGATAAATGTAAAATTGATTCTTTTAATCTTAGGTTTTTGTCTGCGGAAATAACAGTAAAGCCAAGCAAAGAGTGATAGCTATTGTTCCTTCTCTTGGACTTACTCCGTTGGATCAAGGATCCCTCAAGGCAGCCAAAGAAATTGAAAACTACCCCCTACAACTATTTCCAATGTGGAAGTTCCCCTTCTATTTGTCTGCTGCTCTGTTTATCTTCTTTTTTTTCTATGGTGTTATAAGAGACATAATCTACTTTTATGTTTCTAAAAAGAAAGATGTCACATTTAGTTTGGCTTATTCCATACCAAGTCATGTCTGTCCAATAGTAGCCCTCATCCTGCTTGGCTTGGTTTACCTGCCTGGTATCATTGCAGCCATTTTGCAGCTGTATCGGGGCACCAAATACCAACGGTTCCCAAACTGGCTCGACCATTGGATGCTATGCAGAAAGCAACTTGGCTTGATCTCACTGGGGTTTGCCTGCCTCCATGTTCTCTTCATAGTTTCAACTCCTCTTCGTTACATTGCACTATGGCATTTTAAAAACATGACCATTACTCAGGTAAATATCTATCCATTTATAATCCTAGTCTTGAAATCAAAGAGGAAACTTACCACATCATGTTTGACTTTATATTACAGAAAATCTTTCTTCATGTTTTTTCTCAATGAACCAACTTGAAGTGTATGCAACATCAAGAATTAAAATTAAACTCTGAATTTACATAGATTCAGATCTATATTTCCAGGATGCTGAAAAATTGATTTTAGGACTCAGGAAAACTAAAGACAGCTATTTGGATTGCTTTGACTGGCAATCAAGAAATGTAGACCAATTTAAGACTCTTTATTTTAATTCACTGTGATTTATGAATCTGTTAACAAAAGTTTCAGGAATTCAATGTTCCAACTCCCAATCTACTGCCAATGTCTGCATTCCTCCACCAATGGCCCAAGTTTCCTTCACGCTCCACAAAAGATCCTATTTTTATACATGGTCCTTTCTCTTGAAATTCAACTCTCTTATAAAAAGTCTCTCAAATATGTGTCACAGGAATAGAAACAAATACACAAAAGAGTGATTATAGCTCCATTAATGTGACTTCTGGTTGTCCTCACTAATGAAAAAACTAAAAAGTTCTGAACAAATGTCAAATATTATTTTCTGCATAGTAAAAAATGTTCAGAGACAATCAACTCAGAAGTCTTAAATAGTCCCAGAGGAAATACTATTCATCAGTTTCTAGTTTAGAAATAATTGATTTTGATCAGACTTACTACAATCTCAAATTTTATTAGTCATTAATTCATTGATAGTGCTGTGCTTGTTTCTCTACATTATTTTTCTAACAATTATATGGGAGTTGCTTGGATAAGACTCACAACACTCCAGCACTCTAAATCCACTCAACCTATCTATAGTACAACAGACTTTCTGCCATATACACTGTAGTATGTATGAAAGAACCTAAACACTTTGCAAGTGAATAGTTAGCATATAAAGCCAAAAAACAAAATTCTAATGTAATCATTTAAGAACAAAAAATATTGCTTGGGGAACAAGCCATATGGTATAGGTTTAAATAAATGTTTACTTTGTTTTAGGATTTGTATGGTCAATTAAAACTTCCTATCTTACTCCTTGAAGTCAACTTTTATAATAAAAGTCCATGCAGAACCAATTACTTTTTCTGCACCAAAATATATTTCAAGTATATTTTCTCTTTTCAAATTATTATCAAGAAATGGCATTCAACTTACCCTTAGAAAACTAGCAATGCAAAGGTCCCCTATAAAGTTTGAAAACTTTACCAAAAAAAAAAGGTAATTAAAAATTTTGCTTATAATTTTTTTTCAGGTAGCACTCAAAAAAGAAAGTCCAATTAGTACATATAGAGCCTGGCTTAATGATTCATATTTGACTTTGGGGGTACTTGGATTTTTCCTGTTTGTACTCCTAGGAATCACATCCTTGCCATCAGTTAGCAATCTAGTCAACTGGAGAGAGTTCCGATTTATCCAGGTAAGTACTTCAAGACTGAATGTGCTTTATGTTGCAAAATAAGTATGACTTTAAAAAATCTCCTCATTTTTCTCTCATCATGCAAAAATTTCATCACTTCCCTAGCAATTGCATTAAAATAGCAACTGAAACAAGTTCAAATTAGAAAATGCTAAACTCTGGTACAAAAAGGCAGATTCCATAATGACTTGATTTTCTAGTAGGACATTCTTAGCCAAGATTTCCTGACTGCTACCAGAAACATCACTAAGACTAAATATAAAAAAATAAAAATAAGAAAGAAATAAAGAAAGAGAAAGAAAGAAAGAAAGAAAGAAAGAAAGAAAGAAAGAAAGAAAGAAAGAAAGAGAAACTTATGTGTAAGTACAAAGAACAGAGAAACTCAAAAACAAAATTTCTTCTTCTGAAAGTTAATCTTTGCATAATAACATGTTGTGTGGAAAGGTTTATATTGAAATAAAGTTAAAAGCTATGAGCAAGATGGGCTAGACTATCAACATAATACATTCAATACTGATCTGTAAGAAAGAAAACTGACTTTTTTTTCCATATATCACCAATACCTCATTTAAGGTAGTGGAACAAATTGTTCTTATACAGCAGTGGTCCTGAAAGTGTGATACCAGAACCATCACCAGCAGCATCCATTGGAATCTTGTTAGAGACATAAGCCTCCAAACCCCACCTTGGCCTAATCCATCAAAAACTCAGGAGCAGGACTGGAGCAACAGTACGGTGAACAGGGTGCTTGCCCTGTACATGGGCAACCTGGGTTTGATCTTCAGCACTACTTATGGTCCCTCGAATCCTCCAGTAGTGATTCCTGAGCACAGAGTCAGGAGTAAGCCCTGAGTTGTGTGCCCTGCCCCCACCAAAAAAAATAAATTACCCTCGGGAGGTAGTGGCCTACAGTTTAATGGGGGTGGGGGGATGCGTTATAAGCCCTCCAGACAATTCTGATGCCAACTTAATCTGAACCTGATAACAAAATAGATCATTAACAACTGAAATTAGATTTGAATTTTATAGAACTATTTGAATATTCTTGCAGTGTCTCCCAAGGGCCAAGAGCAGCTAACATTTCTCACTGACAGGTTTCTTCACAGCACAGTATAGAATTTAGACTAAGCCAATTAACAAGAGTAAAGTTTTCTAGTTGTTCTTTATGTGATAGAAATTTGCTAACATCTGCGTTTAGTCAAGAGCATATACTAATGTGGTGTTTCCAGAGGACATATTGTGTCTTATCCATTTCTGACCTCCGGAAAAAAAAAAGTGAACTTCTGCTAAATTTTCCCCTCTAGCCAAATTAAGACAGAACCACCATGTCACTTGTAAGAGCAATCTTTTTTTAAATAAAATATTTATCTTGAAATTTGTCCCAAAATATACAGGTGAGACTGGTGCTGTAAAGATTTCTAAGATTTGTGGTTATTGACAGAAATCCTTCATTACCATACAATATTTCACTTCAAAATATAAGCAGTATTAGGTGGAAAAGATAGTACAGGTGGAAAGGGCCTTTGCCGCACATGCAGCCATGCTAGCTGAATACAACCTTTGTTCAATTCCCTGCCCCTGGACATCACCACGTTTCACTTTTTAGCAAGGAGCCAGCAATAGCCCAAGTATCTCCAAGTTGTGACCTACACCACCTCACACCAAAAATATATCAAGTTAAATTAAGTTTTTATAAAAAAAAAAGTAAACAGTGTTAACATTCATGTATTTCTTTCTTCTAGTCTAAACTGGGTTATCTCACCCTGGTCTTGTGCACAGCACACACCCTGGTGTATGGCTGGAAGGGATTCGTCTGTCCCGTGATTCTTAGATGGTATCTTCCTTCAACCTACATGATAGCACTCATCATTCCTTGCACTGTTCTGGTCATCAAGTGTATCCTGATCCTGCCTTGCATAGACAGGACTCTTAACAGGATCCGCCAGGGATGGGACAGAAACTCCGAGTCCTCAAACCATCATTGAATAGAAAAACAAAAATTTAAAATAACATTTAATTACTCAGACTTCTGAGCTATCATTGTATGTTTAAAGAAAAAATGTATCATTAAGTGCCTTTCTTCCCTCACAATAGCTGAAGTTTATAGACAGGGAAGAAAACACTTCCTGACTTTGAGAAATTGACAGACTGACATTGATCCAACTTGATCTCGGGTTTGTGATGAATCAGTGTAAGTTCTTAACCATCCTTTTCCAGGAGGCAATAGGTTTCAGATCAAGATTAACTTTGTGGTTTCACATTAAAAAGCTTCTTTGTGTGCAACATATGTTACCTGAGTGTCTTGCGGAATCCAAGGGAATTATATGCAACTTCCTTCTCTAGGTGCAGAGCTAAGGAGTAAAATGGAAAGCTGTAAGATGGTGGCCACTGATACAGACATTTCAGGTCTCTCTGAAAAAGAGGGTCTAAGTGAAAAGAATGAGATGGGGGAGAGGGTATTTCTTGGAAATTAAAGAAATTCTAAGTATTTCATCATAAAATCTGTAATTAAATATCAAATGTAAATCTTAATTTTTTGTTTACTAATATGGCTGTGTACTATGGGGATCTACTTTCCAACATTATAAAACTTCACTTCACTTAAAGGGGCAGGTGAATGAGACCAGTTGTAGTTACATTATAAAACATCACAATTAAAAGTAGGATTACAGGTTGAATATATGCACCTCTATACCACTGTAGCAAGATTCTTTTTTTATAAGGAAGAGTGCAGGAAATAGTGAGCAAAACTGGAGGAACATTCACTTGGATTTTGCCACGTTATGCCTCAAGAAAGGAAGGATTAGTAGACATGTTTGCACAAAAAGCTCAAATCAGTCAGTATCTTAACTAGCAAGCAAAATGAATTCTGTAAAGTAACACATATTAGATTTAGTAATATGGTATGCTTTATAAATCACATATTACACTTCAAGATATTAATCACCTATAAAATAAAATTCTGATAGAAAAATTTGGTTCTATGATTTTCTATAGTTTACTATGACTTTAAGCAGTGAAATTAAATGAATAATCATGATATGAACTTGAGTGATCTGTAAATACTAGAGCCTAATGGAAAGTCTTAGGGCAAAGACGTTAGACCAGCAGAAGTTACATGAATTTGATTCTTTCTCAAGTTCTTAGTGGAAAGCAGGATGGAAGACAGGTTGTTCACAGGGCCCTTTCCCAATAACCTTCAATGGACAATCTTGGGACCAAAGGGAAACTCAAATGCAATCTTCCCAAGTACCAAAATAACGAACGGTTTCAGGCATGACAGTTTTCCACCTGCTCCATAAGTGCCATTTCTTTTTTCTTTCCACTCTTATCATCATATATTAAGCATAACATTATATAAAGTAATTGAACTATATTAAAACATTTTAAATAATACAGGATATTGTTCTATTTTTTTTGGGGGGGGAGTGAAGAAAGGCAGTCTCGGGCCACTCCTGATGATGTTCAGGCATTACTCCTGGCTCTGTGCCCAGGGATCACTCCTAGCAGACTTAGGGGACCTTATGTGGTGCTGGGAATCAAACCCTGGTCAGCAGTATGCAAGGCAAGTACCCTGACTGCTGACCTCTCTCCAACCCAATCCAGGATATTTTTCTATAAAGTTTTTTTCCTTTACTTTTTCATTGAGGTATAATTAACATATATATGCATATAAACTTGTAAAAATTAGTGCCTTCAAATCATATATTACCAAATTATTTATAAAGTGACCTTATCAATATCATCTATATTGTTGGAGAATGGTGATTTCATCACATCCTAGCAGATTCTTGGTCTTTATTTACACTTGAACATGGGCCACAGAACTCAGTGGGCTGGAACTCATGTTTTACTTGAGGGTGACTCAGGTTTAACCCTCCTCACACCAGCCTGGAGAAGCCTATACAAAAAGCAGATAGACATGCTGATGGTGTATTCCAGTCATTTCATCTTAATTCAACTGAACAAGAAACATAGAACCAGCTGTAAATTCCTGCAGAGTGGTTGTATGAACTGCCAGTCTCCTATTTGACAAAAGAGTAATATATATATATTTGGTTTATAGCTAAATATAGCGACAAAATACACCTAGGTTTAAAAAGAGGTTTACCTATATTTAAAAGAAATGTACTTTTGTGCTTAATTAAACTGGTCTACTTGCGCACTGTCATGACGTCTGCAGTTTAAAAGCATTCTCCAGTGACTGTTTTGTTTTTTTTTGTTTGTGGGGTTGGAAACGATGCTGGAAGCTTCTCTTGGCTCTGAGCTCAGGGGTCATTCCTGATAATGCCAGAGATCAAAAATGTCAGCTACTGACAAGGCCAGGGCTTTAACATCTCCCCAATCCCCTCCAGGGATTTAAAGTAACAGCTGCAGGAACAAACACAACCTTCACCTACCACCATGTGGGTTTTTTAGCCCCACCAGGTGAGTAGAGAAAAACAATGTTCTCCTTCCATTTTCTCCCATGATCTCCCAAAACAAACTAATGTGATTTTTTTAATTGAATCACCATGAGATAATAGTTACAAAGTGTGGTCACATATCAGTCAGTGTTCCAACATCCATCCCAACACCAGTGCACGTTTCCCACCACTAATGTCCCCAGTTTTCCTCCCCCCACATTTCCTGGAACCTGGAGCCTGTCTTTATGGTTCATTCTCTCCCTCTCCCTCTCCCTCTCTCTCTCTCTTCTCTCTCTCTTTCCCTCTTACTCTCTCTCTCTTCTCTGTTTCCCTCTTCCTCTCCCTCTCCCTCTCTCTTCCCTCTCTCTCTTCCCTCTTCTCTGTCTGTCTCTGTCTCTGTCTCTGTCTCTCTCTCTCTCTCTCTTCCCCTCCCCCCACCCAGGTTATGATGTTTGTTCCTTTACATATTGTCATTATGTGGTTCTTATCCACAGTGATCATTTCCAACTATCTCTGTCTTAGTGGTCCTTCCTCTATCCCAATTGCCTTTTAACACAACTGACTCCTGCAGTTTACTTAGAATGTAGAGACAAAGAGTTTGAAATAAATGAAAATTGATGCATGGGTGAAGTGTCCTCCATTTAACAGGACCAAACTGATCTAAATTAAAAAGTTAGACTACTACACTTGCTGGTATGTTCCCTGCATTCTAGACATTTTATGAAGTCTATTGACTTTTTATTTTTGTGTTATCCCATATTAAAGAATAACTGCTGTCATAAGTATGCATTCATTAAAGAACATTTTAAAAATATTTTCTGGTTTTGTTAGATTCTGGTTTTGACTCATCTGCATGTTAAAGAATGTAACTGAAAGGCTTTGGTACAGTGTTGGAGGTTCTGAAAACAGGAAAAAGTCCTTTCAGATATAAGGGAAAGGGAAGCACACAGGTTCAACAGAACACTTGTGGATTTGCTACTTTCCACAATAAACTCATGAGTCAGCAGGCCTGTGCATTTCAATATCTTAATTGCTTCAACATTACTTTCAGAGACCAGAAGTAATGAGAGGTAGCACAATATTACTGAACTTTTGTAAGAAATAGAAAAAGAGGGTTTTCTTCCTTCAACTGTATCCTAAACTATTCTCTAGGGCAGGGTCAATGGTAAATGAACTGACTTCAGGTTTGATTTCAGTCTGTGGGATCAGACATCAAATACGCCAAGCAGTTGGACAAATGCAACCCTAGTGGGTATTATGCTTTCAAAAGAGAATTAGGAACTGGACTATGGCTCAGTGGCAGAGTGTAAGCCTTGTATGTGTGAGGCCCTGGGCTCAATTCCCCAGTACCAATAAACAAGTGCTTACATAAATCAGGTAATTATTCACACAGATAAGAAGAGATCTGGCATCCTGAAATAAGCTAGGAACAGAAAATCTTGTGCTCAAAAATAGCCTCAGGGGGCCCAGAGCAATAGAACAGCAGTAGCAGGTTGGGTGGTAGGGCATTTGCCTTGCATGCAGCCAAAGGGTTTCTATCCCCAGCATTCCATGTGGTTCTCTGAGCACTGCCAGGACTAATTCCTGAGTGCAAAGCCAGAAGTAAGCCCTGAGCATCACAGGGTATGACTCAAAAAGGGAATATATATATATATTCTGTAGTTTTGAGCTATATTCAAAAACTGTATTGGGGTCCGGGAAGATAGTATAGTGGTTAGGAAGCTTAACTTGCATGTATGAGACGCTAGGTTTTATCCCTAGTTCCCCAAGAGTAACCCTTGAGACTCCCTTCTCCCACCCACATAAAGCCCTCTGTATTATTGTTTAGGGATCAAAGAAAGTAGTCATGATAATAGTGAATTTACATAATGAATTCTACCTCTGGGAGCTCAGAAGAGTCTGAACTCCTCCAAAGTCCAGATGGAATGACAGTCAGCATATTCCACATGGAGCTTGAAATTGGAATTTACAATTCCAGCACCATGACCATCATCTAGTACAACAGCTGCCAGAAAACAAAAGTATCTTGATATGTTACTGTGTCCCATGGTGACATGGGGGGACGGGTGTGTGGGGGTGGGGGTGGGGGGCTCCTGAGCCCATCTCCTCCCACAGATGCCCCAAATCTAGAGTCTGTGTGGAGCAACTGTCCCAAAATCCTTATTCCCAGATGAGATGAATAAGAAAAACCCCTAAATGAGAGTGGACAAGGCTTAAAAGTACAGTGAAAAAAGGGGAGCATGGATGAGGAAAGGACAATTTGGGGCATGGGACACAGGTGGCAAAACACATGCGCAGCATGTGAGAGGCTCTGAGTTCAACCCCAGGACCACATGTCTTCTCTCCAGCACCACTATGTGAAACCCCTATTTAAAAACAAACAAACAAAAAAACTGTGTAACCTTCACATCCTTTGACCAGGACAAAAGCATCCAGTGCTACATGTTTCCTACTACAAGGAAACTGTGGAATTTTAATGATGTTTATTGTGTAATACTATGAACTAGCCTGTGTTAAAAAATTTGCATAGGGTCAGAGTGATAGTGCAGTGGGTAGGGAGCTTGTCTTGCACATTGCCA